ACAATTCCGATTTCTTCAGTTTGCTGTTTTAACAAATGATTTTAGTAGAGTCAACGATTTTAAGCTTTGACTCTTAGCTAGAATATACGTAGAATCAGATTTCTTCACCACACTTTATGGTGTTAGAAATCAATTTTCTAGATCTCGATGTTTTAAATTGTGAACTTTTTACAATCATTACAAAAACGAAAAGAAATAAATTTCTTTCAAAAATCGAAACTTAAACTCGGTGATCATAAAATAAAGCAACTTAGTTTTATCAAAAAACTGAAATTATGTCAAAATTAAGTAGATAATATCAATAATGAAATACCTGGAACTGACTTTTGATAAGAAGTTAATTTGAAAACACCATGCGTAGATAAAAACGCAATTTCAGCATAAACTCTGCATCTTCTTTGACCTCAAGAGGTCAGAAATTCTAATATATATGGAGAACTTTCTATTAAAACTATCGTAAATAGTATCAAATGTTAGAGGGTCTAAGCTATTCAGCGAATTGGATTGATATTTCAAGAATACTTCAAGCTCCGCTTATGAAAATACAAAAGACAAAAGAAAGATTTGCCAGTATCCGTTCTGTTATATTTTAAACAAAACAGGGATGTCACATCAATAGACAGAACTAGCAGAACTCTCAAGTTGGAAAATATGGGTTCCAAACAGCAGAAAAATTTGTATACCTTAAGGTACTGACAACTAATGACAAAAAATAAAAAGAATGCATACAGGATCGCTTATTAGCTGCACACAAAGCTAACCTTGTCCTTATAAATCTTAAGAACAAGGTCTTATTAATAAATTAAAGCGAAGAATGTAGAAAATGTTTATAAGACCACTGGTCTCGGACTCGAAGTATCAAAGTATTAATAGTTTTTAAACGCATCATCTTGAGTATTTATTTTTTCAATACACAAATCAAATGTTAAGACTTCTTAATTAAAAACTACACTAAGTTAGTGTCAACTAAAATCGAAGATATTGTCGTAAATCCATTAAAACTCAAAAGTTAAAATGGATTGTTGAGCTACTAAGACTGGAGGGCAACCAGGTCCAGTAAATGATTGTGGACTACAAACATACACCACTAGAATTATGAACTATAAAATATTTATGTAAACCAGAAATATAGGATGATAAACATACTCTGGATGTCAAAAAAGAGACCAATAGAGCAAAATAGTGGGGAAAATCGTGAAGAAGATTATAATATTTCTTCACTGTAAATTCTTATTAAACATCAAATTTTTAACTCATATAACCAAAATTTATTTAAAAAGTTTTACAATTTATGAATTACTACTATCACAATTTCGGGTTGATGATTTTCAAGAACTTTTTGTCGTAACCTTGTAATTTTTTTTCCAATCACAATTTATGGATTGGCAGATTTGCTCATTTAAATATTTTATTCTTCCGCACAATAGTTGTACCTTCCTGCACGATTTAACCACAGACGGTCGCCTCTAATTTTACCTTGTGCTGTGGCAGTCACCACACACTATTTTCTTGGTTCTTCTAATCCGGTTTCAGAAGAATTGAACTTTTGGTTTGGGCAAAACTATTTGATATTTAAGATTTGCACTTTGAAAATAAAATGTAACATGATTTTTAATAAATTTTTTCTAATTTTTTTTTTTCGATATCATTTGCCATTTATGCAGATTCTTTTATAAAAAAAATTCAAATTCTTCACAGCAAAAATATTTATTATATTTGATTAAACCTAATTAACTTTAAGTTCTTCCTCGAAAATTGAGATTTGTTTTATTCTAGAATTTGCACTAAATGTCAAGGCAGTGATTAAGCAAATTCTAACAAATCCACAACTTCAATTCCAATGGATGAAAATACTCGAATGCGGTCAATTAAATAAATTGAATTTCTTATTATAATAGTTTTTGCCGGAGACTAATAGATTATATTATGAGTCTAATTTTATTTTTGTTAATTTTATGAATTTTAAATATTAATATTTTAATGGGAGATGATTTATTTTGATGTCTTTTAATTGGGTACATTTGTATTCTTGTCAATTTTTTTAACTACGTATATAGCAATATATTATATAAATATATATTCATTGATCCCAGTCTCTACCTTCTGGGATCAAGAAAAAATGAAAAAACATCAAAACGTATATAAAAAATGTTTATAGCTTTTTAAAATCTAGGCATATTTCTTAGGCATATTTTTATTATCTATTATCTACATTATCTACATATTTATTATTAATTTTTAATAATAAAATAATGCACCCAGGTGAAGCAGTCAACGCACTTACCCATTACGTACTCCTGATTTGGCAGTGCTTTCATCCATTACATCATATGTTTACTTTAAGGTTTGCCATTTTACAATATGAATCGTTTAACAACCGCTTAATGTGTTAAAATTGTACTTAAACCACACCGTTTGTTTGACGTTCTATCACATCAAATTTTTTGCAGTTATGAGCACGGTTGCCACTTGAAAATTTTTTTCTGTACCAAAATTGGTTTAAAAAGGTACCATTTCTGTAAAAAAACGGTCCAAAATTTTTTTGGACCTTTTTATTTTCTCGATCTGTGTTTTTCATAGTGTTATAAATGAACAAAATATAAAATAGTGCAAAGTTGCATTTATAAAAAAAATTAATTGGAAATATCCACAATAAAGTTGGGTCGTCAAAAATGTACCATTTTTTGAACATGAGTACCAAACGAAAAAAAAAAACAAAAGTACCAATTTTGGTACTAAAGTACCATAAGTGGCAACCGTGGTCCTGATATGTCTTTCTATTATAAAAAAAGAAATACTGTGTACGGATGCATTTTTGTAACTCATAACGTTATCATGCTCCCACTACAATGCAAGGATTTTCTTTATAAAGAAAGGAACATTGTCGTTTAGACTCTAAGATTAAACGCAAAACATGAAGGTCGTATTGGTATTTATAACTCGTACAAAAAATAACTCGCTTTGGGTTATGATTTACTTTAAAATTAAAAGTAAATTGAGAATACTAAGTTAAATTGAGTAACTGGAATCTGACATTTCAAGCATCAACTATACTCTATGACCGATACTATATTTAAATCTTACGCCTATACTCAGCCATTTTAAAATCATATATAGAGCAGAATTTAAAAACACGATAAGAATTATAATTTGATTAGAATTATTCTATTATATACGAAAACTCTTATTTGTTAAAAGCTGTTTAAAAAGCTATTTAAAAACTGAAGGCAAATTTATATATTTTTTTACATAAACGTATTAAAAATTTGAGGAAGTGTTTTTTTACAATTGTTCATGGACAGTATAACATTCAAATATTAT